GCCTTTGTACTTTTGCTCGTTTGACAAGTCGCAGAAGATCAAACGTTTGGATATTGATGTGTGAATTTAACTGTTGATAAAGGTAAGTTATGTTGTAAATACAGGAGCGTTTCAAAAGATTTTGTCTCACGTTGAAAAATTAAAGAGACTTCTCATCATTTTATAACGCTTAGTTTTTTATTAGGTTTGTGTTAGATTGGTAACTAGTGTGGGTTCACACGCATGAGAGAGAAATTAAGTTGGGCCGTTTCAGTACAAACTGACAGATTTGCACCCCCTGCGCGTGATTCAAACACTGCCCAAGATACGTTCGTGGGTTTTATTCTGGTCAAATGTTAGTTTTCATCCCAGGATATGTGTATTATTGGTTGTATTATTGCTGAATTATCATTTGTCTTTGTTGATCTTACCATTGTGGATTATCTCCAAGTATATATATCAAAACAAAAGACGTTTGAAATTAGAAAACTAATTTCGGAAAGCATAAGACATATATTATGTGCTTACCCTAACTGTTTCACCAAATTCACATCAGAAGCAGCACTTTTCTGAAGTCCAGAAAGCAATGTGCTTGAATGGTATCTCCAAAGCCGCCTTGCCTTCAACTCCAATATGAATAAAAATCTAATTGATTTGAAACCTGACAATGACCAAATTTTTTTTTATTCATAGCCAGTAATGCTGATGCCAATTATTATGATATTAATGGCCTCTGACTAACTGATGAGTTAGTGTCAAGCCTATTGTAAACAATTATATATTTTAATGGAGGCCAATGTGCTGCCCATGTCATTATGTTTGCAGCTAGTAATTATTTGATTTTTCAGTTAATAAAGCATGCTAAACAATTGTCATTTCCAACAATCAGATCAAGTGTTTGGAGTGGATATTATGCGTAAACATTATATGACTCACATTATGAACACGTTTTTTAATAATATTTTTATTTCGCATATATCACATCATAAAAGTAATACAGTATTTCTATATACTGACGCACGTTCAACTTGGAACATATTGTTGGGCGAATGGGTCCAAAAACTGCCTGTAAGCCATGTGATTAACAATCAATGAGTTTAACAGTTTTTTAGGGCAATTTCAGGTTTACATTACACATCTTGTTATTATTTCTTCTTAACATGACACTGCCCATATTAATCCAGCAGGTGGTGGGTGAAATTTTGAAGTATTTTTTTTAAGTATTAATTATATGGAAATGAGATATTTGCACAACACCCCTATTTGATATCTACACATCCTTTAATATTTAATTCTTTATTACATTCTAAACCAATTTTAAGATAGTGAGCAAGCGTGAATATCAAATAGGGGCTTCCCTATGAGACTCGTTTGCCATAATTTGGATTAATCTGATTAGTTAACTTTTTCACGACCAGATATTATGCTCTGGAACTTCTTTTCAGTGTTCGGATTGCAGCTAAACTAATCAGGTTTAGCAATCTTTTTCTTTTTTCTTTTTCACGATCATTAATTTTAGGGGTTCTGGCTTGTATTTTATGTGCAAACAGAGAAGCAACCTGATTATTTGATTATTGTACACACTAATAGTTGAGATTGTGTTCTAAATGTGACAAACCTGGTAAGGTGCTACTGTTGCTATTCGTTATGATTCTTTAAAATCTCTTTAATATGTAGTTTTAGCAATATAAATTCAGTTTACGAGAATAACTCAAGCTTTTACTGCCAATTCATTTTTAGCCCATACGTGATGAGGCAGCGGATGCGTGAATATTAGATTTGTTTCACGAATGAAATCCATAGAAGAACAAAGAGTGAATTATGTTTAAACCCATGAATATGAATCAAAGATTCGATGATAACAAGAGAAAATTCTCAACAATTGGAATAACCAATCAAAGTTTCATTGATATTTGATAAAAGAGGAAAGGGTGAATTATGTTTAAACCCTGAACACAAATCAAAGATTCGATGATAACAAGAGAAAACTCTCAACAATTGGGATAACCAATCAAAGTTTCATTGATGTTTGATAAAGAGGAATCGATTACAAAAGTCTTAATCATGCCTGTTTATAGGTTACAATGAGTTTTACTCTAAAAAAGAAAACAAAACATACATAAAACCCTAAACGAACAAAACTATGTTCTGACCGTGCTGAACGTGAGAAGTGGACAACTTGAGGTGTGACAAATTCATTAAACTGCCAAAGTCTTCCCACCCTTGTACTTTGTGTATGTTCTAGAAGTCACATTAAAGAACAAAGTTTGCACTTTGAAATCAATTTGATTTTTGACAAAGAGTTTCAGGCTAGAGAAGTAGAACTATCTGAATTGTCAATTGGTCATAATTCTATTGTACCTACCAGTTCCTGGATTCTATTGTACCTACCAGTTCCTGGATGCTACAGATTGCAACTTATTTTCTTTTAATTCATTCCATTTCCAGTCAAAATTGTTTAGGTCCTCATAATTCCTAAGCTGCCAATGAAAACTGAATTGGCCCGAATTTGGTCAAACTTATTCGCTGGATAAATTTTTGACTTGAATACTTAGAAAATTCATACTCCAGCTTGTAACAGCTAACAAGGTATGCTCGACTTTATGACTATCTTGTTTATTTTGTCATGAAGATGCTTATCGAATATGTCAGAAAGATTATTCTTGATATTCAATGGTATAATTACTGCACTTATCGAAGTTTCTAACCAGGTGTACGCATTAGTTTGGCTGTTTTCATTGGTTTATGTTGTCTAATATTAACTTCTTAATGGTTTAATACCTTTATAGTTTCAACTTCTTTTTAATCTCTTCTTACGGTAATCTTCAATCAAATTTTTACAGTAAAAAAGGGGCAACGAAGGGATCAATACACTGCCTAAAAATACAAAAATAGAACGACCATTTGGATTATTATTTTTAGGAGTTTTTGTAGAAAAATATACAGTAATGATTTGATGTTGTGAGGTAAAAAAGTGATTGGAAAATGTGTTTAAACGTAAAAATTTTTCTGCAAAAAATCACAGCATTCTAAACTAAACGATAGACACAAGCATGAAAATTCCTAGACTCAAGGAAGTGGCTTATCATTTAGTTTGTTCCTGTTGCTTAATTATATGTTGCTTCATATGGAATTTCCCTTTTAATTGGAACAAATTACTCCGCGAGCTAGCTCTTTTTCCTATTTCTAGTACAATTCACAATGAGAAAAAAAAATTACTTTCACTATGTCTTGTTAAATTAAACATTTATGAAGACATGATGACCTCTGTAGAAACCGATATGTTATCCAATTCATTGGGAAAAAACAAAAGAGAAAAATTGAAAAAAACTATTATAGCTTGTTTTGTTTTAATTAGAGGTATGGAATAATCACGGGATAATATCATTACAAGTACTGCTAAGTTTTGATTTGGCATATCTTTACCACCTATATATAGAATATGAAACTTCAAGAATAAAGCATTCATAGTTGATAATGGGTTCATCCTATGATATTCAATTATCAAATATTCAAAATTTGTTAATTTTGCAAACAATATATTCGCTTTATAATATTCATAGGTAAATTATTAGAGCGTGTTCGGATACAAGTTTTTCTTTTCTAGATATTATTTTACTTACGTCATAAATACATTTTCTTGAATAAGTGGAGTCCCTCCACGAAAATTGAATATAAAGTGAGGTGAAGTAATTTCATTTCATGGAAAGAGAGTTGGAGTGGAGATTTGAGACTCCATTGGATGCATTAAAGTGGCTAGAGGTAACGTGGGAATGTTTCTTATTGCTGCAAGCAACACAATCACATGTATGTCACGTTTTAGTCACAAATCGTGACAAAGGATAATTTCCATCTGTTTGACACTTTAAGTCAAACCACTAGGGGTTATGTATAATTTTTAAATCATACTGGAGTTATGCGAGTAAGTGAAAAATCACAGGGACAAAGTATATTTTGCCCACTAGGGGAAGGACCCAATTGATAAAGGGCACAAAATATTTTTGTCAAAAGTGTAAATTTAGCATTCTCTAACCATGTATTAACTATTAAAACTTAGGGATAATTTCACAAACCTTCCCTAAGGTTTGCCTTAATATCACGTTACACTTTAGTAGTTTCAAAAATTTCTCTTTCCACCAATTGATTTACATGTGTTATAAAATTGTCAATCCCTACACATTAAAAATTCATAAAAAGGAAAGATAACAATTTACTTCTATTTGTCTTGTCCTTTATATAAATATTAGAGCAGCAATTAAAACTAAAATAAATCTAATAGGTAAAAGACAAATTGGGAGAGATACAAGTGCAATAAAGAGAAATTGTGGCAGATAAGTAGTTTTACAACTGTGCAATAACTAATATTTCAACTCTAGGGCAATAATGGTAGCAAAAGGATCAGCTTAAAGATGAATTTAATAGAATTTAATATGTCAACTCAAGTTTAGCATCAAAAGGATCAATTTAAAGATGAATTTAATAGAATTTATTGTACCAAATCATAACAAGTTTTAATATTAGAAAGTACTGTTATAATTCACCAACATTATTTGTATAAGGAATCGATATTATAGTTACAATACAAAGGCAACAATCAAAATTCAGAGAGCGAAAGAAATCCAAATAAACAATATTTGCTTTTAATGTCCATTTGTTGTGCTTCTGATGTGTTAGGTAATAGTAGTGTTAAAAATTCCTTATTTTGTATTGCTACAGCTAGAAAAAGTTGCTATTATAAATGACAGTTTTGTTAATTTTTGTCCTAATCTTTTTTACTTTCCAAATTCATTTTTTATGCTAATTTTATATAATCAATTAGCAGTTTTCTGTAGGGTAATATTATTAATTTACTATCTATAATAGAGATATCTTGTCAATCTAATAGGAGATGTAAGAGAGATTTTTGAAATTATGGGGTACTAAGTAACATTAAGAAAACTTTAGGGGAGGTTTGTGAAATTATCCCTAAAACTTACTTGTTTGCAATCTTTTTCAGTTTTTTCTCCCCCTTCTTCCCCAGATGTCCACAGTCAAGACACGGAGACTTTCCTCTCTCCAGTAATTTCAATTCTCACAGCAGGTTGAAAAGCTTTCTGATGTGAAAAGCTTTCAATTCTCAGGAAAATCGTGAAAAATGGAGGATAAGGAGCCGAAGAACCGCAGAAGAAGCGGCCACGCTCTGACTCTGATAACTCGAAACGGGTAATAATCTTCATTCGCACTCTATAAATTTCTGTATGGAAAAGAGTAAGAAATAGAGCAAATTTTCTTATTTATTATATGCATTTAATTTGGATATTTGAAAAGTGCATATTCAGTTGAGTAGTCTACATGCAAATAATTTTTCTTTTTCGTGCAGTAATTGATTAATATATCTGTAGTCCAGTTGTACTTCGAAAGTAGGGTTTTTTTTTCATGGCACGCGAAGAATTAAATTGGTCATATCTGCTTGGATGTTTTGATTTGCACTCGGCAATTGTGAAGAAAGTTGATAAACAGTTTTTTTTGTTTTTTTTTTTCTTTTTGGGACAAAAATGAAGACTTTGGAAAATTCTTTGGTTTATTGATTGGTGTAAGACAAGAAATGGTGTAATTGGTGTTGGAATGTGATAACCAGTTGGATTCTACAGACTGGAAAATGTTGCTAACATTATGAGTTATTGACTTGAAGGCATTGGATACTTCGCAGATGGAATTTCAGGAGAACTGTATGATAGACAATTATGTGGTTTCAGTACAGCTGTTTTGAAATTTGATTCCAAGGCCGGTGGTCTTGTAATAGGATTTGGGGTTCACAGTGTTTTATTCATATGTTCTACCAGCTAGGAGCTGAAAATTAGTCAAAGTTTGAGTCTTTTTGTATATATATATTGAGTTAGTTGTGGAAATGGCCTTGAAGTTGTTGGTAAAAATTTTGTACTCTTTTTTAGAGAAGATTTGGGGTGGGCTTCAGTAAAAACCATAAGTAACGTTTATTACCATACCACATAAACTAAAGGATTAGTGACCTCGACTTTCTGTAGCCTGTACAAGAAGTGAAAAGGGTGTTCTAGTCCAAATACCTTTTAGATATGAATAAAAATTAATCATGCAGTAATGTCATGGTTTTCTTGTAGACAGCATTTACTTGCTTTTCCATGATCTTGAGACTCGATATTTCCACCAAAAACTCTTTAGACATTGTTTCTGTAAAGAGAAAAAGGAAAAGTTTTAATCTTTGGTTCTCAATGTCTAAATGCCTGAACAAGTTTTGTTGTTGGGGAGAGAAAGAGGATATTAAAAACTTACAAGGTTCTGTTGTTTGTTAAGATTGATGCTGCACTTCTCCAGTATCAGAATCAGAGACTTGTTCAGCAATTAGACTTGCAGAAGCAGGAGTTGCTTGATCTGGAAGTCAAAATGAAAGAGCTGAGAGATAAACAAGCCTCTTATGATTCAGTGTTGATTACAATTAATAGACTCTGGAATCAGGTAACTGTTTTTCACATGCACTCATATATGATTTGTAGCTCTTTTCTGCACGATATGCATTAATAATGGTTTTCTGGATGTATTTCATGTAGTTAGATGGTGAACTAATCCTTCTGGGAGTACGAGCTGGGGCTGGTAAAACAGCTCTGCACAGTTCTGATCAAGTTGATCGATTACAAGGTTGCCTTTACAATATAGAGAAAAAAAAAAAAAGAAAATGTATTCTTTGCAGCTTTTTTAAACTCATTGAGCAGGGATAAAGCTCTTTTGTAATGCAACTTTGAACTGTGCTTCCACTATTAGGTCCAATGCCATCATGTCGTGCAGAAGATATTTTTCTTTGCAGGCTACTGCAAACAAATGCAATTGAAAGCACCGGAAGTGATGGAGCTAATGGATATATCAAAGAAGGCCTAGCTCGGCGTCAGGCTTCTACAAGGGCATTGATGAAATTGTTGGAAGATGCTATTGAAGCTCAGAGAGCTAAAATAGAGAACATATCGCAGGCTTTTCATGGAAAATCATCTGCAGAAGGTCAGTAGACCTTAATAAATGGTCCTTTAGTTAGAATAATTTCTTTGTACGCTTTATTTTGTCATCTCCTATTCCTATTTTTTTAGTCATTTATTCATATCACCATTTTCGGCTATCAGATTTTGTGCTCATACTGGGAAAGATTGATGCTTTAATGAAAGAGGAAGTTGATAATCTGCACAAGGTGATGGATATCCTTCATGTGAAGCATAAAGAATATTTGATGAGATCCAGACCTGTATTGAGAACAACTCAGTTGATCAATCAGAGATAAAGAGACTTAATGGTATGTTAAATTTTAGTACACCATTACCTGCTTGTGTGTTTGAAATTACAGACAAAGGTTCTAGTTTCAGCTGATAGATATTTTTTTTGGGTCAAAGGATCTCTCCTTTTTGTGCTTTTCTTCCACATAATGTAATTTTGGTTATTTCTTTTTGTTATAAAGAAAATGGCAAGCTTGTGAACCTTATTTAAGACAGGTGGTGTACTGCATTTTTAGTTATAGGTCAGTTGTGTATGATGTGGTCATCATCTTTCAGGTGAGCTGGAAGAAAGCATGGCAGAACTTGAGGAGAGTAGAAGAAAGCTTGTGAATCTGAGAATGCAGAAAGAGGGGCCTTCTGCAGTACAATCCCCCATATCAGTTGTTGCAAATGGAACTGCATCTCCTGAAAAACCTGCAGACAGGGCCAAACGTTTACGAGGACTGAAGGATTCGATTGAGGAGACAAAGGTGTTGCTCTCTTTCTCTGTGATTGTGCGTCTCAGTGAGTTTTTGCCTGTTGTTCCATCTCTGTCTCTGTGTCTCATGTTGTACTTGTATTTTTGCATGGGTTACTTATTAGATATTACATGGTGTAGGTGTCCTTCTAAGCAAAGCATAATATGATGTAGGTACTTGCAGATGATCGTCTTGCCGAGGTTCAAGAGATGCAGGAAGACAATCTCAGCTTGTTAAAGCAGTTGCAGGACCTTCAGGTTCTAAATTTGTATTCCCTAAGTTGAAAGTAACCGTCATATGCTACCAAGCATTTTCAAGACTTCTTGTTTGCAAATCTAATTCGATTTTTAAGTAGCCAAACTGTCTTTTTTGTTGATGAAATTTGTTACTTGATTTTTCTTTGTGCAGAATGAACTGAAGGATGATAAATGTGTGTATTCTTCTCGTCCTTACACCTTACTGAATGATCAGCTCCAGCACTTGAATTCTGAAGCCGATCGGTACAAAGTGCTTGCAGAGTCAGTGCAGGTCAATGAAATGAATAACAGAATTGTTTCGAGAAGTGCTATCCATTTTTGGCATCAAACTTTTTGTATTAACTCTGCAATTGATTAGCAGGCTGAGAGATCTTTGATAATCCGAAGGGAGAAGGAACTTTCTGTAAAAGCAGAATCTGCGGAGGCTGCAAGAAAGGGGGTTGAGAACTTAGAAGCCAAGATTGAGGAGTTAGAGAATCAACTTCATAAGTCGATTGTTGAGAAAAATGAGCTGGAGGTTAAGATGGAAGAAGCTTTGCAGGATACAGGTTGAATCAACTGCGACTTGTACTACTTTCAGTTTTCTGGTGGTTTTATATCACATTCTCAATAGTCCTGGCTTTTCCAGGTAGAAAAGATGTTAAAGAAGAGTTTCAGATTATGGCTTCTGCTTTATCAAAGGAAATGGGAATGATGGAAGCTCAATTGAATCGGTGGAAGGAGACAGCCGAAGAGTCCCTTTCCTTGCACGAAGAAGTCCAGTCGCTGAAAGCTTTGGTGGACAGTAAGGTTTGATTTTGCATATGTGATGGTTTTTTCAAACTAGATGTTCCATTTTACTGTTGCCAAAGGGTAATTTGTTCTTGCCTTCAGCAGAAGCTTAAAGTTTGATGTTTTCTCTTTAATTTTTTTTTTCCGTTTTAGAACCAAGCATTACTTGGTTAGGCTATTTGCAGTTAATTTTATTTGAAAAAGTTTATGAAGAAGTTCAAAACACGTGATATTCTATAATTTCGATTTCCTAGAGCAACCGCATAATGTTGTGGGAATGCCTATTGCTTAACATTTTAAGAGGCAATGGGAAGTCAAATATAACCACGAATCTCCTTTAGGCTATGTCCATCTCACTGAACATGTAAAATTGACAATGACAATGTTCGAAGCTGTTATGTTCAAATTCACTGTATGGAGTGAAATTGCTTTGCTTTCAATTAATAGAGCACCTGGTTTTGCTTCACATAGAAAGTCCTTCAGTGATGGTGCAGCTAATTGTTTATGTTTAGGTGAATTTTAGCTTTTCAATTCAGAAGATTGAGTTAGAGGCTTGGTTCTGTTTGTAGCTTACCTTGCATGTTTCTAGGTAGTGACACTTGTTCTTTCCTTCTCAAGACCATCAACTTGGTTAAGATCCATGCTGGATTTGATTTTGAGATATGACATTGTTATCTCAGGCAGCATACATTTATTTAAATTTGTTGTGTTGTTGCTCCTTTGTGTGGACATGCGGTATCTTTGCTTTTCAGTTGTGGATATTTTGGAATTTTTGGTTGTTTTACCTTCTTTTAATTTGTAGACTACTGAAGAGAAAGACTTGGCTGATAGATGTGCACATCAAATGGGAGTGATCAAGTCTTTGAAGGCATACGTAAGTCTGTGGATGTTTATATGATCTGCACATCTACCACATTTAAGCAGTGTGCTTGCTTCTTTATAAGAATGCAGATACTGAAAATTTGGATGAATGATATTGACCTATGAATATGAAACCTTCGCAGATTGAGAAGATGCAGAAGGAAAAAGAAGAGCTACAAATATTTGTGGACATGCTTGGTCAGCAAATATATGACAATAGGTGAACCATTATATGTTGCTTTTGTGGATTTGTTAGATAAGCATTTCAATCATTTCTTGGCACAAGCAAATTTGATGAGCCAACTCCCAGTGCTCATCCTTGAAAGTGCGCATATTTTAAATGCAGAGTATGATTTGGTGTATATTGAACTTTGGAATGCTGATTACAGTACTCTATTGCAAGAGGAGGTGTTGAAGAATGAACCAATTTTTCTTGTTTGTTACAGTTGAATTCTGAGCACTCTTTTTCTCTGAAAATATAAGATCATGAGGGCTGAATCGTCAATATTGCGTGTGAAAGGCTCTTTCCCTTTTTTACTGATTTTTTAAAACTTAGTAATGGGTATTGTAGAGTTATCAGGTGAATAAAAAGCTTGGAGCCTTGGAATGATTTTAGAAGTATAATATGTTGAGTGGGGTTTCGGTGGTAGTATGCAGTGGTTTAGGTGGTAGAAATCTTTCTAAGTAAATGAAAAACGAAAAAATACAATTGCACATGGAGTCAATCAATTGCTACACTAATTGGGATGCACGCCCCTCTATTTTATACTGATCTACTCTATGCAAAAGCTTGAAAGTTAAAGTGGTTGGACCTTTGAAGTTGGGTGACTTAGCAAAAGATCAGCTTGTATTTCACAAAAGATGATGCTAATGCAAGATAAACTCTGTTCAAAACACCAGAATCAACTCTCATATGTAAAACCTTTGATGAAGCCTTTACTCAGCAAGTTGTCACACCTTTTGCATGAGAACAGACCTCAGGGTCTTGGGATGGTAGGCACCTCTATTGTATACTGATTTACTATATGCAAAACCTTGAAAATTAATGTGGTAGGACCTTTGAAGTCAGGTGTCTTCACAAATGATCAGCTTTTGTTTCACAAAAGGTGATGCTAATGTAAGTTAAACTCTGGGCAAGATGCCGGTACCATCTCTCTACGTAAAACCTTTAAATGGCATCTTACATAGCCAGATTGTAGCAAGCCTTGCATGAGAACAGACTTCAGTATCTTTGATGTTTCTTCTGCTCTCGTCATGCACGCATTTCCTTTTCCTTCAAGTTTGTAGGACATTAAAAACTGTTTATACTATGATATTTATGGAAGTAATAAGGGGTGGTTTGCAGAGATGGGTTCATGGTTTTCACTTTCTGTGGTTTGTAACTTGAGCTCATTGTTTAAATTATCCAAATAGCTTGTATTCTTGATGTAGCTGTAGTTTTTATTAAAAAAAAAAAAAGAATTGGCAAATGTTAATTGCACTCCACTTTTTATAATGGCACTCCCACTATCATTTGTATCAATGTGGTTTGAATTGTTGTGCGACCTGGTCATGGTTGTTTTAGAATGTTATACAGGCTAATCTGCAGCTTAAAGTTTCTTGAAAGCCAAAAAAAAAAGCATTCTTTCTTTCTAATTCATGTTGTATGCATCTTGACAAAGTTGTCTAGATGTTTCAAACCCTTTGCAAGTCACATATAATGGAAATGATGGAACCTATTTGGAAACTGGTATATTTTGGAAAAAGTTGCTCAAGTGAATTCAACTTTCATTGTTCATGATCTAGTTGAGATTGGGATTGCCTGACTTTCCAGTTGAAGTTTACAGGTCACACAATATTGAGCTAGGTGCAGACCTTCAGGTTCTTGCTGCCATTTTTTTTCTAGTTTTTTGTGGTTGGATATGTCAATGGTTGCATTTTGTTATGCCTGATGTCTTGAGTTGTCTTTTTGTGAAAATATACTTCTCAACTTTGAAGATTGTTTTTATTATCCCACCTTTGCTGGAAAGGAATCTAGAAATACACTTCTGCAAGTGGCAAATAGGATGATCCACTGATTGGCTGAAGAGGAAGTATAATGTTTTGGCAGAGATTGGAATCTGCTTTAACCTTTTTTTTGTTTGGTAGGGTTGGGTGGGAAACTATCGATTAACTGAACATCAATGGGATGAGCCTATTTTTATCCTATGTCCTTTCCCCGTGTCTTGTGCATGCTATATCCAGTTTCAGAAACAAATATTGAAGGGCCTTGAATGAATGTTATGTGTTAATATTTCAACGTGAAATCCTTACCGTCAGAGCACCATCTACAGCCTGTGTCAACATTAAAGTCTGGAAAGCTGTAGAGGACATGCACTCCCCATTTTAAATATGTTCACGAATTTCAGAGTGCTGTATTTCTTAATTCTGGGATTGTTTGTTTTTTTTAATAATATTGCAGATCTTAATTCAATTTTAAGCATATCCTCATTTGGTGCTTGTTGGGTTCTATCTGCAACTAAATACTAATACATTCGTTAATTTGATGGGCTTTGACTTCACCAAATTTTGTTTATTTATGCCAGAGATGTGAAGGAAATTAAAGAGTCGGAGCAAAGAGCGCATGCTCAAGCTAAAATTTTGAGAAATACTTTAGATGAACACGGCCTTGAATTGAGAGTGAAGGCTGCTAAGGAAGCTGAGGCAGCTTGTGAGGAAAGGCTTGCCGCTGCTGAAGCCGAGAAAGCTTCTTTGAGGGATGAAGTAGATGCCTGTGACAGGTCATTCTTCTTGTCATGTTGAATTCTTGGGCACCCTTACTTCTTGATCTTCTTGGTGCTGCTTTTTGTTGGTTTATCTTCGCTGCTGTATTCTCAATCTGTCTTTAAGAATCAGAATCTATTAAATATTGAATCCTTGCTGTTCATGCAACGCTTTTCCTAAGCAATCTTGTACCTTAGGTATATGTATCAAAAACTTTGTCTAGAGCATTGAAGTGGGCATCATGTCTGCCACTTCTACAAGCAGCTTATTATGTGTCAAAGAAGATGGGAACTGATTTAATGATTTGAAAGTTACCTCTATTTTACTGTTACCAGGGCAGGAACAGGTATTGGAAGTTAGTGATGAAAAATTGGAGCTTTACATGCTGAAGCAAGGAATTTTACAATGTTAGGGTTTTATGGCATGTTTATGGAACAGGTTTAGAGTTATGGAGCATATATGAATGTCAAACATGTATGTTTTACATATTTTCCAGATTCCCATAGCTTTCCTGAACTTGGTTATCGTCAATGGCTACCAATCTTGTGTGTGGTGATGATGTTTCCGTGGGGATTTGGTGTATTGCTACAGCTGTATCAGAAAAGCCCAGTTGCATGAACAGACTAATGCAGTTTTACTTTGCCACAGGGATGTTTTAAAGCTTCAAGAGGCTATCAAACTAAAAGAAGCTGAGGCAGAAGCATATATTTCTGAAATTGAGGTATTTACTTACACTTGGACCCTGAGAGATATTTCAGGTAATCTTCTTTATTGCCATGGACATTTCTTGTAAGATCTTGTTTGACCATATATTTCTGATTTACTTTTATGTTCAGACTATTGGTCAAGCATATGAAGATATGCAGATGCAGAACCAGCGTCTCTTACAGCAGGTGACTGAAAGGGATGATTACAATATTAAGGTCTGTCTTTAAGTACCTTCTCCGGGTTTCTGTTTTTAATCTCCTTGTGCCATCTAGGTGAAGTAGCAGGACTGATTCTTGGTTTTTGTTTTGCAGCTGGTATCTGAGAGCGTGAACGCAAAGCAGGCACACAATTTGTTATTGTCTGAGAAGCAAGCATTAAGCAAGCAACTTCATCGAGCTAACGCAATGCTGGACTCTCTGAAATTGAGAATTTCTCAATGTGAAGAGCAGGTGGGATTTCTTTTGGGTAGTTCAATTTGATCGATAATTCTCCTTTTACAGAGATGGAAATTTGCAGGTCAAAGTTCATCTGATGGAAGCTTCAAGGTACATAGAAGAAGATAGACAGCTTGCAGCAGACCTAGAAACTTCAAAAAGGGAACTAGTGGATGCTGAGAAGGAAGTTAAATGGCTGAAATCTGCTGTTGCATCATCTGAAAAGGAAAATGAGCAGATTGAACGAAAGAAGGCTGAACTTCTATTGGAATTGGAGAGTGAGAGGTGATTTTTTAAGTGAAGGCTTTTTTTTTGAGTGCATTTAATACTAGATCTTCTCCCTCAAAACTCTTTCTCCTTAACACTCAGGGAAATTTGATGTACCTTAAAAACTCTTTACTAAAAACAAATACAGGCATGAAGTTGCAATACTGGGACAGAGTGACTTGATATAATTGCATAGCATTCTTGCAACAAAATAGAATTAATGTATCACTTATCAAGCAGAAATGACATAATTTTTCACCTTAACTACATTATTGATAGAAACTACCATGAAATTCTTGAGTTTTGGTTGCCAATCGCATATGCAAAATTGATGGTTCCTAGCTTAGTGGACAATCTGTTGAGAAGAGGTTTCCTTAGCTTATTAATCATGTTACATGCTTGCCCAAACTTGTCTTGACTTATTGCAGTGTCCTTGGAACTGTGTAATGCTTATGGGAACTGCATAACGTGGGAGACTGCTGCTTTATCGTGCTATATTCAACTAGCTGGGTTTTGTCACGGATTGAGATTATATGCCATTGGTTGATTATATTCATGGTCATGCTTTTAACAATGTTGTTGGCCTTGAATAACAGTTTACAAGGAGGAGACTGTCATGCAGCAAGCTCAATTTTTCTTGGATTTAGATACAAGTTTACTACAATATTTCACTCGTGCTTGTAGAATCTTACTGCTTTTGCAATTGTTTCTGTTTATGATGTGACAAGTCTTTCATGCATCTATGTACAATTTCGTTAGGTGTTGTGTATGTTTAGTCTGACTAACACTTTATGAGAGCAGAGAAGCAAGGAAGAAGATTCAGGAAGAGATTGCCACATGGAACAAATCTATCGATGAGATGACTTCTGAGAATGAGGAAGCTGAAATTCTGAGACTTCAGGACGAAATTAAGGAGTGCAAAGCTATTCTCAAGTGCGGGGTGTGTTTTGATCGTCCTAAGGAGGTTTGTGCACATGACATCTTTGGATCAAAGCTGTTCCTCATAATTCTGTTGAAATTTGTCCTCTCTGCAATAATTGTGCTCCTCTGGTATTTTTGGGAGCTATGTAGTTACTCCCATGAATTTGTTTCTACGAGACATTGTCCCTGAGGCACTATAGATTTGGTGAATTCTTCAGCTAAGTAGTGCCCATAACCTGGTTTCCGTTTCATGGCAGGTTCTTATTGCCAAGTGTTATCATCTATTTTGCAATCCATGCATCCAAAGAAATCTAGAGATCCGCCATCGAAAGTGTCCAGCTTGTGGAATGGCATTTGGGCAAAGCGATGTTAAATTTGTAAAGATTTGAAGGCACGTAGTTAAGATGTCTAAAATAGAACTCAGTTTTCAAGTGGAAACCTTGAGATAATATGTAATTTTGTGGAGGACTGCATCCCCAGGAGAAGCTATTTAGATTACAGAAACTCTCGGTCTAAATTCTCTCCCTCTCTCTCTCTCGTTTTTTCTTTTCTGCTTTTAAATGCCTAGATGCAGCGTTCCTTTGAAGAGTGCTTTTAGGTGGAATTATCTGCTGTTGGGGATGCTTTGCTTTGTTTCTCTCTGGGTAAGTCCTTTTCCTTTTGGCTCAAGAAGCCTTTGTCAGCTGTTATTTAATCAACTCTGACTCGTTGATATTTTTAGGAAGTGGATAAGGTTTAGGATTGACTGAAACAATTGTATAAAGATAACCTGTCGCTCTACAGTCTCGAAAATATCAACAGGTCTTGGCAAGGTTGGGGGACCAAGACAGGGATGGGAGCAAGGAGGATGGTGAGAAATGGTCAAGTAGCCTTTACGTTTTTCCCTTGCAAGTAAACGGGAGGATAAATAAATTAGTGCACACTTTTAAACAAGAAAATTATGCTTAAGCTACACCAATCAGCAATGGCATATGGTTTGCAGGGGTACTCAAAAACCTTTGACCTCGTGGAAGCACTATGAAAGGTTGATCTACACATAATTAACACACACAAACATGGAGGTGTGCGTGGGGGCAACAATTACCTATTTTCGCATGATGACAAACTTGATTGAAGAGTCTTTAAGTTACTCCTTGACCAAACCAATAAATAGTACTAATGTACTATTTTGTAAGAGGTCATTCCATTTACTTCTTTTTTTTCTTTTTGCTTTTCCTACTAATAATTTAAAATGTAATTCCTCCTAACACTACTTTTTAATAGAGTTGTAAATGAATTGAATCGAATTGAATCGAATTGAACTTTTTCACAGTTTGAGCTCGATTCGAAATTTTGGTTTTAAACTTGAATTTCAACTTGAATCCTATACAAGTTTAAACTTTAAGCTCGTGCTCGATTTGATTTAATATTCGATAGGTTGAAGCTAGAAAATTTATTTAATTCTTCACTTTTGATATTAAATCATCACTAATGCATATATAATATCTATATAATAAAATAATAAGTATATGATTTTATATAAAATTATTAACAAATATTTTAAATAAAAATATTAAAATTTATTCGAATCGAATTAAGTCTTAATGAGTTGAATTTTTACGAGTTTGAACTCGATTCGATACTATAAATCAATCCTAATTCCTATTTAAATTCGAATTCGAGTTCCTTAAAAATCAAACTCGAATCTATTTCTTAATAAATGGAATCCGAACTATTCATATAGATTGACTAGATCAATAGATTCTCTGACATTTGCTTTGAATTTTTTTCACTCCAGATGCAGTTTGAAACCTCAACTACTGGTTCTACTTTTTTATTTCTTGTACTCCTAATGATTAAAAAAAGGGATAATTGCAGAAACCTCCCCTGAGTTTTATGGTAATAGCATTGACCTCCCCTATGAGTTTTGAAATAGCAATCACCTCCCTAAAAAAAGGTGGACACAATTTAATAGATTCTTCATGGTCAATTTACTAAAATACCCTCACTGAAATTTAATTTTACCAAAGAATGTGATGACTTAAACCCAATAAAACGTTTGTCATTTTGATAATTGTAGTTTACACTAAATTAACTATTTATGCATAGTTTAACTAAATAACTAATAATCTAATTAATTAATTAACTAATTATCTGTTGACATAAATAGATAATTAACTAATTAACTTTAGATGCTTAACTAATTATGTAACTAGTTAATTAACTTCTTAATTAACTAACTAACTAACTCAAGCTGCAGTCTCCGTCCAGCTTTGATTAAGAGTATGCTTTACTGTGAGACTAGTATTAGAGGGAAGAACAGGGCGGCAATTGCATAATAACACTGAAACCCGCAAGCGGGATTCTGTGTTTTTTCTATTTCAAGGTTAGCTCGCATGCGGGTTAATGTTATATTTGAGCGCGAGAAGAAAAAATTGGTAATTAGGCTCTTTGGGCATTATAAGTAAATATTTAAATTAATGGCAGTTTTATTACACCAATATTATTGTATTATCATTATTATGATTATTGTATTATTTCTTATGCAAATATAACATTTAATTATTTAAATTTGATTTTATTTTTACAATTTATAAAATTTTTATCACTTATATAATATTTTTAAAACCCTAATACATCTAAATTTGATTTTATTTTTCAAATTTATAAGATTTTTATTTAAAAAAATGGGATACGGATAAGATATCCGGTTGGTTCGATTTGCATAGGTGCATATGAGAATATCCGAATACTCTTTAAACCCGCATGCGGGTTTAAGGAGATTATGGCAACTCTCTGACACACTAGTTCCCTAGCTCTTAAAAAAGGAAAAAAAAAAAAATTGAGAAGAGCTCGCATTCCACGAATGCGAGCTCAATAACCAGAGCTCGCATTCCACGAATGCGAGCTCTTGTAAGCTCGCATTTCACACATGCGAAGACCCCCCTGACGGAAATTAAACCTAAAATCACCCTTTTTGTAGAATTTTTTTAAAATTCATCACAAAGTTGGAAATTTCTCTTGTTTTGTATTGTGAAGGATGTAGGAGAGTTCCATGATGTTCTCCTGTGGCTGGAAGAAGCCATTTTTTGATTTCTGCAATATGACTTGAAACTGCCAAATTGAGTATCAAGCAAGCTGTGTTTTGAGCTAGAAAATTGCTGCTGCATACATGAGTCCAGATTCTGGTATTCATTTTGCTACTGACCATCGTTTATAAGCTAGTGCCTTAGTTACATCAATTAGCCGTTAAGTAGCCGTTGGTTTCTCAGCAAATGAAGTTGTTGCAGGTCATCATCTGGAAGCATGTTGTTGCATTTATACCCCCTGAACTTCCTTGTGCTTAATGAAAAAGCCCCTCCTTGTTAATACTACTTGTCAACTAACATCAGGGCAAATTTGGAACAAATTTTTTATCTCACTTGTACAGCTAATTTTTTAATGGGAATTGAAGCTGCCTGGACTGATTTTGCAACTTAATGTTCCTGTTGAGGGTGCTATCTGCCATTTCAGAACTTAGAGGGGAGCTCAGTGCAACTGTCAGTAGTTTCAGGGGAGGTTTCTGCAATTTTCCCTTAAAAAAAATGTCATATCTTGTCTCTACACCCATTATTTTGTTGAATATATCAATGTCACTTTATTAGTGTTTGTCTCTTTATTGTAGTCTATTTTAACACTCCTATTCAGCATTTCAATCAGCCATATCCAGAGAAGCAGTAACCAACAGACACCGTTTGATACGCGATCATCGTCACAGTATCTTCCAAGTCTGAAGTGCCTATATAGGATTCTTTACTACTACACTGTTCTCTAGTAACTTTTGATAGATTTGGATGCCCTTATAGCTTTTTTTGAGAATTTCAAAGCAATGCTTCTCCAAACAATCACAACTAGTAGCCCTTTAAATCTGAGCAACTCTCCTAACTTTTGCTATTGTTCTTCTTGTTTCAAGAATCAGAGCCAAAAGACTCCATCTTTACTGCCCAAGACCCTGTTTCTCCCAAGTCTTGATTCTAAATTTTACTACCATTTGAGTGATAAAACCAAAAGGGGCTCATTTTTTTCGAGTGGGAATGGCTGTGGAGCTAATTCCATTCAAACAAGAACAGCATATGCTACTTTGCTTGAGACCCCTGTTCTGTGGGCTGGTAGAGTTTGCATCTTTTATGTCCTCTTGAAGGCTGGCTTAGCTGGATCTCCTGCTAACCCTCTTATCTCTTCGGGTATGAACATAGTCTACGATGATTATTTGCCGTATTTATGCCAAAAATAAAGTGTTTGTCTGAATGCTGATTTCGTTTCTTGATAGATTTGGAAACTAGTTCTGATGATTTGGGGTTCTCTAAGTGGTTTGAGAAGTTTCAAGGAAATCCAGGTTTGTGAATTTTCTTGCTAATTATTATTGTTATTATTATTATATTTTGCAAGCGTTGAGTTGTAAATGCTTGAGTTTGGTAGTTTCTAATACTGGTTTATGGAAATTATGCTAGGGGAGAATCATATTTGAGTTAAGGCAATTTAATAATTACAGACTAGTAATAAGGTGAAACTTTGGAATGAGGAAAGTAGCTCTGCTTGTTGAGTGTATCTCAAACTTTGCATCATTAGTGTAGTGTTCTATGATATGACATGTGGAATGCCATCTATTCTTTCTAATTTTGTGACACCACATACATTTTTTTTAGCTTGATTTAATTTTTAAGCAAAGGCTTACAACTACCTTGAAGGCTAATAGTGTCATCAGCGAAACTTGAAGTGGTTATTGGGAGCCTGTAATAAAATTCCCAGTGGTGCTAATTTTATTCCCTTGTGTGCTTTTGAGAGAGCTGTGAAGGACATTAAGACAGAGTGTAAGGATAAGACTAAGAGGGGATTGCCTGGACTGGTTTTTTATTGAGAATAACTTGTTCTCAAAACTGTGTGTTCTTTCTTCCTGTTTCCATTCAAATTGACCTAAATATACTGTACAATTTGCACATTGCATATAGCAGAATGAATCCTAGGGGAAATGCATGTTTGCCTAGCAACTGTTCCATGAAATTCCACTGTAGATAGTCCTAGACTTATGGAAGCAAGATTAGGGAAAAAGTACCAACTTGGCATGGGACTTCTTCATGAAATCGATCATCTGAACTAAAGCAAGTGTTGACAGAACAGCCTTCTGTAAGTATTAGATGATATTGGTAATATTAGGTATCTGTCATCTGGTCTACTTGTTAACTGATTCTTTTTGTGAAATTAACCTATCTGGTAAGCGAAACATTAACCCATTTTGTAGGTGATATGATTCTGAGACCATGTGTGTTTTGTTCATCTCATTTAGAAGATATTTGGATAAAAGAACTTATTACAATATTAATAATTGGCTCCTTTAATAGGCTGATTTTGCAAGTATTTATTGAGTTTGATGCTAAATTGGCACAGGAAATTGTCATATCATGACCCTCTGCTTAAGTTGTTTTGGCAGTAACATGTATTAAAAGACTTCCTTTGTCTGATCATTAGACATGAATTTGGAGAAGAAAGATGAAAGAGGAAAAGCTAAGAAATAGGGAAACAACTAACAAATGTGTAGCATTAACGCTTTTCAAACTTTATGCCTAAGGATCACATGTGAGGAGTATTTATAGGAGATCTTTCGCACTAGATAGCAAAATTGACTAGCTTGACGTTAGGCGATTTCTTGCTCTTAAGTACTTTTGTTTGACAGTACCAAGTCATGCAACAATCAGTAGACTGCTTCTCACATCATTCTCTACACAGGACTTGTTAATTTATTGAATCAAGAAAGATGAGTACTCCTAAATAGATGAAACTTCAGAACTGTAGCATGAGTATGCTTATTGATCAAGATGTCTCCAATAGATTGAATTGTCAATAGTCCTAAAATTTCCTTAGATGGTATTGGATAATTTGCAAGTGGTCTGCTGGGTAGATCTCATTATGCTTATCTTTTGTCTCAGGATTAAAAGAGTTAATCTGAATGTTATGATACATGAATTGATTTCATTAAAATAAAAAAAAAATGTGATAGTTTTTGGGAGGTGATGACATTTTTCGTTTATTTTTTTAAGGAGTCTTTCATTTCTCATGTATTGACTTATTTAGTAAGTGGTCCTATGTGATGAAATGTCAAATATGATGTCACTTGGTACTGCAATAACCAAAATTTAGTCCAAGTTACCTAACTTGGAACTTGTAAAGAAGTTGCTTAACATGAAGTTATCTAACTTGTTGCCTAACTTGAAGTTCATCAAATTTACCATCCAGGGCAAGGAACTCCAATGAATACTCAGTCTAACATTCTGGAATAGAATCTGGATAGCATTAATATTTTATATTCTAGTTGCCAACTTTTTCTCTTAGCTTTTCCTTTCTCATTTTCTTCCTCCAAAAGGTCAGAAGAACTTAAAAATTCTTAAAGACTTTTCTCACTCATTTTGATATCTTTTGCGTTGGAGCATAAACCTAATCACTATGAGAGTTTGAAATCCAGGAATGAAGTTGGTTCTCTGTTTGCTTTGAGCATTTAATGGGCTAGTCTTATTATTGTCTAGTAGTTCAGTGGCTCCAGCCCATATAATTCTACCTGCACGTATGAGGGACTGCTTGTGTGGATCTTTCTTTCAGTTTTATTTTAATTATTTTTATTGGGGGGGATGCCTGTAGAGGTTAACTAAGGAAAATAGCTTGAGAAGAATGTTTCAAATGGGTTCTGCAAAGCTGCTATAGTCTGAGAATTGTTAACTAAAAGTTTGTTTGGTCATGGTAAAATCCATGGGAAGGAAGGAAATAGAGGTGTAGAGATTGATGACTTCACATGGCTGATGAGGAACGGAGAAGGGTGGTAATTGTGTATCAAATAAAATCAAGAACCGCACCTTGGGTTTTTATTAGCTTTGGAGTTACAGGTGTTGATGAAGATTAGGAACTTAGAACAGATATGACCCACTATTATCAGTCTAAAATCTTGGTATTAAGGTGAATGGTAAAGTGTGCTTGAAATATTGGAAAGGTAAAGGTAGTAGAAGTGACTTTCTCTGTGTAAACATACTTTTTGCCCATTTCCCTTCCTGTTCTTCCTTCTTAATGCCAATTACTTACAAGATTAAACCTGTACAATGGGTAAATAACTTCTCCATTTGCTCTTACAGATATAACGTGCTTTATATGAGAGCTTGTGGTGCCTTGTTTGCTCTTAGTTTTTAGATACAAGGATCCTTCCTGCTTGCTTTAATTTTTGTTTGTTTAAAATGGAAGCTGTCTTCTTCAAGCAGATAAGGAAGCAACTGATAGAAGGAAACTAGTCAGCAAATGGCATCCAACAACCAAGGGTACCCTTAAGCGCAACTACAGGGTCCCATCAAAATCTGAAGGGCGCCGTCTTCTGAAAGCCATTGCTTCTTTGTTATCAGATGATGATCACTTCAGAGATGCCTCTTCTCACAAGGTATATCTGCTTCCTGCCTAAGAGTTCACTTCCATTTTTCGTGGATGATGATTTGATTGTCAGCCTTGTAACTCAAGCTCTTTGGCCTTTTTCCTAGGGTTGTCAAATTAGAAGGCAGAATGCTCATGGAGAAAGTGTTTGCTGTAACAATGTTAGAGCTTTGTTTGATGAGCTTCCTACTCCACACCTGGTGGTGGAAATTACAGCTTTTCCTGCTGGTCCTCTCAACGAAAATGATTATTTAAAAGCTGAGAAATTAGAAAGGGTTCTGAGATCTGCTCCTTCTGCTTGATTAACTTGGCTATGTTGGTACTCTAGAATTTCTGAAAGCTAGAGGGGTGGTTTTCTCTAGTGACAAACCAATTTGACGATGTTGAAATACTTGAGCCTCTAGCAGATGCCAATAGGCCCTTCGTTGTTTTTGTATGTATCTGATCTGCTTGTAAATATTGATGGCATGGCTTCAACATCTTGCGTCTGAACTCTGTGAGTTTGAGTACACTTCCAACATGGGACCAGATTCCTTTGATCAATCTTTAGTCAAAGGAAAATCCTTAAAAAATAATAAAAAAAAGTTTGGCCTCTTTGACCATATTATTTTGCGAGGTTTTAATAAATTTTGTAGCTAAAAACTTTTTTTTTTTTTTTTTTTTTTTTTGCTTTTTCGCTATATTTTGTCAATCAACAAAACCACCAAAAGAAAGCTTGACAATAAGCATAACCATATGTAGCAATCAGTATTATGCTGGTTTGTTATTTACTACAATATTTCAAATTAGTTGAAATGTTTTGGCAAACTAATATCTTTCTTATTTCTCTTTTAATAAAATCAAATTTCATTCATGAAGAGACTTTGTTACATATATTTAAACATCTTGAATGAGGTCTCATGCTACGCATGAAAGTGCACAGATATATGGTTTGATTTGATTTGATTTTCTGTTCATGGGAGATAAACACAAAGCTGTATAAAATACTAGACGATATTGACCATCACAAAAGATAGAGCATCCAAGCTAGTTTGATGATATAGAAATGCTGGAAACTTTTGGTGAGATTCAAGTCAAATTTGTAAGGTAGTTGAAATATGTGGGAAGAAAATTTGTAAGCAAAAATTTGAGTGCATTATGGCAATATTTGATACATTTGGGATAAAGTTATTGTGTATGAATAATATATTTCAGATATTGAGTGGGACAATATGGTGTACATTGAACTGCAACAAATATATAAACTGGAACAACATCATATGTATTGGTATTGTTTACAAATTATCAAGAAATTAGGGCAATTGATGATAAGATTAGTAGGCCTATAAATCCAACCTCCTTCTTATTGGTTTATTTACAACTAGTTATTCACTGGTACATTTGTACGAGCCTTTTTAATATCTTCAAGAAGAAAATCTTTATATATAAAATAATCACTTCTATAAAATTTAATATGCCAAATACAAAAAACATGTCCACTAAATGTGCTACTATACGTGACGTGTTTTTTTTGTCCTTATTATTAATTGACTACTAATAAGGACAAAAAAAAAAGTGTCTACTTTTTTTTTAGTTTTCTGAATTGGAAAATAGATATCTTAAATAGAATAGAATTTTGATGATGTTGGAGTTCAAGGCAAGGCAAGTTTTGGAGATGCAATACAACCTTTTTAGACTTCAAAGAAAAGTTGTGCTACCGCTGCTGATTTGAGTTTGGCTACAGCTACCAGCAGATGAAATATTCAATCATTGTCTATCACTTTATCATACGAATTATCCAATGAACAAAACTGGGAAAGCCAAGTCTAAACAGTTAATTCCACTTTACACCCTTCAACTATTTCTGAACTTCCACATTGATCCCTAGATTTTAAAGTGGGAAACTTTAGTTCCTAAAATATAAAATGTATTCCAAAATATATCCTACTTATGTAAACTTTGTCCCACTGTAATTTTTAAATTATAAATATTTGAAGATTCCATACTTTATCAACTAAAAATGAAGAAATTTTATTTAGAGATAGTAGATTTTATACTTAAAGGGGTAAAGTGTCACATTTTAAAGTTTAAGATTTAAAATAAATATTTGAATATTGTTGAACGTGTAAAGTGGAATTAAACCATGTCTAAATGTTTGCAAGGGATTAAGGAACACCAGAGTTGAGATGTAATGTACTATATGCTCTGGTTTCAAATCCTTAGTCCCCAAACTCCCCCTGTCCCATATCCCACTTTCTGCCACGTGTCTATTATCGATTTATTTGAGTTTGGGTTAACAAAAAACTAGAAACACGGCACGTGGCAGCTGTACAAATAAGGGATAGAGGGGACAGAAACTATTTTGGGGACGGAGGATTTGAAGCCCTATTACATTAAATAATGTTTTATGGTTTCTTCTATCTTGCTCATAGACTAACAGAAATAGGTAAATCATTCTCAGCCTTGCAGACCAGGATGGCCCTATACTAGCAGCATGGATGAATTTCCTTGTCTTTGATCTTAAAAAATTAAATGGATTTGATGTGTACTATGTACATCATCAATAGATAAGTATGCTCAATCAATCATTTAGGCATTTTATATTACCTTAAATATAACTGGGAAATCAAAATTAACACCATATCAGATTTTTACCAATGAGAAAAATAGGATAATCATTTTTAAGATTCAAGAATCAAAGTTAGAGTTGATAATTGTCCATCAAGTAACAAACCTAGCAGCAAAAGATCTAGAGTTACTATTCATTAAACACAGAGTATAAAACTTAGGGAGTTCCTAAACTATCATTGTTATTCATTTTTGGCCCCCTAATCTATTTTTCGTCTTTGACTGGCCCTTAAACAATTAAAAGTGTATAGTTCAAGGACTTTTGCGCATTTTAGACATAACTCCAGTTGGAATCAAAGCATTTTTGTCCAACCTTAATCAAAAGCATTAGAAGCAATCACAGGCCAACATTCAAGTTAGGAGCAACAGCAGCTACAGGCTAGGTAGTCTAGTCAGCAGCATCAGAAGTAGAAACCACCCAAGAATCAGGCCTTTAAAGCAAGGAAATAGGCTTCATTGACTGATGTTGAAAAGGGGTGGATAACCTCCAACTATGCGTATCTTTGAAAGCAGCCTCCTTTTACAGTTGGAAGGTGGAAAGAAAGATAGGATAGAAGTAGAGCTAGTGAAAATAGCAATGAAAACCAAAGTGAAGGTGCTGGAGCAAGAGGAAGAGGAAATGGGAGAGGTAGGGGAAATAAGTGTCTGCTCCTGATGCTTTTGATTAAGGTTGGACAAAATTCAATTCCAGCTAGACTTATGTCTAAAATGGCTACAAATACTTAAACTATGCATTTTTAATTGTTCAATGGTAAGTCAGAGATAAAAATAGATTAGGGGCCAAAAGTGGATAATGGTGATAGTTTAGGGGCACTTCAAGTTTTTTTTTTTTTTTTTTTTTTTTTACTTTAAACACAAGTGAATCTTAAAATGCAGACTGTTATCTAGAATTAGATATAAAAAACTTTTACAATATGTGAAGAATTTTAACTAAAGATTATAGTAATTTCTATAGTAATTTCTTCGAATAAACATTTTTTATTTTCTCCTCTGCACATTAAAACAAACGGACGAGTGAAAGTAACTTGTGTAATCTTTAACTTTTTTCTTTTTTAGTGTAATCTTTAACTTTGTTAATACTTAATGCAACTTCAACATTTTATTAGGGGATAATTTTAGAAAACCTCCCTTGAGATTTTTTACAATTCTCCTAGTACTCGAGAGATTTTCAATATTACATTTACCTCTTTTGGTCCTATAAATGACCATAATAATCTTAATATATTAATATTTTTCATACAATTAAACAATCTGCTCCTAATCTTATGCCTAAGAATGCATTTCACACAATTAGACATTAAATGGAAGCAAAAATAAGATTCACCTATGGAATAACCAATTATGTACTAAACATAATTTTAACATATTACAAATTAATTTTAGCTTTGTTTGGAGGTTCTGGAGATGAATAGAAGAAAATGTAGGCTGAAAGTTTAAGAAGAATGGGTTTGTTTCTGGTTTTCCAACATTTGAGGGATAGGGTGTTATATTAATGCAATTGGTAAAATTTTTTGACCTTAACGGTGCTTTTTTTTTTTTTTGTTGGTTTGGATTGAGGTTTTAGAAATTAGGGATTGATTGTGGTAATGGTCATGGAAATAGTGATACTGATTTGAGATGTGAAAATATGAAAGGTTTAGAATAGTAGAAATGAGGGTTAGAAAGTGAGTTTGTAATGTTGTTGATGTTTCAAAATTTTTAAAGAATTTTATGGGAAGTAAAATGAATTTCACAATTTCAAGAGGGCATTTTGGGTAATTCATTCAAAATTTTAACCATTGAATAGTTTTTATTAGTAAAATTTACATGAATAGGAGGAATGCGTAATTTTTAAAAAACTTAAAAAAAAAACTAGGTGCATTTTTTAAAAACATCAAGAGAGTTTTCCGAAATTATCCCTTTTATTAATAAGTAGTGCATCATATGGAACTGTTAGTAAAAACAGAAATCAACTAAATTATTCTGCTAAATATATATGTTTCTTTTTTTTATTATTATTATATTCATATTTTATAAGACCTAATAGTATACGTCGTTAAGTGTGACAAGAACCTCTTCTCATTACTCTTTTATTAAGTTAGAAACATAAGGGCGAATTGCTACCAACCCCTTTATTAAGGGGTCGATCTGTAATTAAGTCTAGCTGGAGTTTCTATGGAGTAGCAAAATGCTATTTGATAATTTTGGAATTCAAGTTTCTAACAGGTAACTTAGAAGCACTATTTCTACATGATTACTTATGGGACAAAATTAAGTGTCAGATCGCTTACGATTTGATCATGATGGAGTTCAAGGCAAGCATATGCTACTTTATTATTTGGAAACATGCTTGAGTACACAGAAATTTCCCAATTCTTGGTTCTTTTTTTGCCACATAAACCGAGCAAGCAGAGCATAGAACCAAATGCAAATCAAAGCAGGGCAACAAGATGGGCGGTTTATGGGGACATGTGGTACACGGATTAGCCTTCGTTCTATTTGGGATCTGGCATTTACTTAGCCATATGAGATATCATTTTCTACATCCAAAATCCTATACATCTTTGCCATGGTTTCCAACTTCAAAATTCAGGTATTTGGAGCTTTTTCTAATCATGGGAGGAAGCGTTGCCTCAATATCCTTGGAACTCTTCATTTCTCCAAGCAAGCACCAACCCTTGGACCCTGATGGAACCATCCCATCAAGCCATCTTCACAACTTTGAGCACTCAAACATATCCTTGACCTTCTTTGTTTATGCACTTTTTGCAATCATTCTCGACAAGATTCAGCCACCAGCTCAATATGGCCTTACCCAAATGCTTGGAGGCATTGCTTTTGGCCAACAATTTCTCCTCTTGCATCTCCACTCTACCGATCACATGGGAGTGGAAGGCCAATACCACTGGCTTCTACAAATTGTCATACTTGTCTCATTTTTCACTACCTTCCTAAGCATAGGGTATCCCAAGAGTTTCTTGAATAGTTTTATAAGGTCTCTTAGCATCTTGTTCCA